TCAAATATTCATGATCCAAATGGAAGCAGAGAGCTCCCCAGCCCAAAGACCCCCTCGGCAGCAGGTCACACTCCTGACAGCCAGCATCAGATCCAGGCCAGCTCAAGTGCTCATCTGGAGGGACGTGAGGGATCTTCAATAGCAAGGCTGAGGGAAGCCGCATGGATTGAAATATTTAAGACAGGATGGTTCCCCAGTAACTACAGCAAGGAGATCAGCTCCACAGTGGTTCTGTGTGTGCTCACATCCGCAGCTGCAGGAGCTCAGCAGCTCCAAATGGTGATGGGTAGTGCTCACTGAGCCATCTGTAGTGTGCTTATCCTGGTGCTGTGGGACAGCACCTAGCATCGCTGAACAGCCGCTGGGGCCTCCCTCCCCTAACATCACAAAGGATTTTTCTCCAGACAGGTTCTGTGCAAGAGCTACAGTGAAAAGTGGGATAAAACCAGCCTTTCCTCTGGCTTCAGGGCACACGGTCTCCTGCCTGCCCCTGCTCAATGCATCTCACTGCCTGTGGGCTTGCCGGCAGCCGGACGCTGTGAACAAAGCAGGGTTTCAGCATGATCCCTGTTCTCCCTGCCCAGCTTATGCTGGTTTTCAGCACCAAAAATTCATTACATTTGTTTTCTCCCTTGCAAACTGCATCACGGTACCTGGATGCCAAGTGCCCAGCTCAGAGCTGGGATGAGAGGGGAAAGGCTCATCACCAGGCAGCAGCCTGAGCGAGCCTGGCACCGGTGTGCATAACATTTTCAGCTCCAGCGCTTGCGTTTGGTCCAGGCAGGGACTGAGAATGACAAAATACATTAAATAACAGCCACAGGAGAATCCCCACCCGTTTGTCCCTCATGAAAAATACAACAGGTTGTAAAGTTCATTGAAACGCTGAAAACCAGAGGATCTGAACTGTGGGTTTCTGAACACTTTCATCTGCTTGTTGGGTTTGGGAGGGGGGTGGCTGTGGTTTGGTTTGGGTTTTGGATTTTTGTTTTTTGTTGGGTGAGTTATTTTGGGGCAGAAGGGGAGTGGTTTGGGGGTTTTGAGTTAAGAATCTTGCAGAACGAGGGTGTGGAGCAGTTTCCAGCCTGAGCTGCTCATCCTTGGGATGCTGAAGCGCTGTTACAGAGACGTTCCGACCGTCCTCCCTTCCCGAGGAGAAAGGGGCTCCCCGGGGTCCGGCCCCGGCGCTGGCTCCGCACGCCCTCTCCTGCTCCTCTGGTGGAACAGCAGCCTGGGAAGGCTGGCTGTGAATCCCGGGAGCCTTTCCCATCGCCAGCGATGCTGTGAAGGCTCCTCAGTGACACCGAGCCCCGCTGTCAGCTCCTGTGAGCTGAGGCTGCTGAGGATGCTCCTCTAGAAAGCATCTAGAGGGCAGCGATGATGCTGTCGTCTAGAAACTGTGCTTCTTCTGTGCTAAGTGTTTTCCTTTTCCAAAGGGTAAAAGCAAAGCTCAGAGTCCTTGTTCTGATGTAGCTCCCACAAACTATCAGGACTTTGACAGAGCAAACATGTTTTTAATATTAAGAAAAATCATCAAAGGCCGGGGTAGGCTCAGCTAAAAACATATGTATGGAAAATACTGTTTGAGAGCAGAAAAGGAATTAACATAGCTGAGAATGCAAAGTCCAAGTGAAGGTTGGATCACTGGTGATGCCAGCATGATCCCCATCTGTAGGATCTCAAGGCCAGGTTGGACACAGCTTGGAGCAACCTGCTCTAATGGAAGGTATCCCTGCCCATGGCAGGGGCTGGAACTGGATGAGCTTTAAGGTTTCTTCCAACCTCTGAGCAGACAAAGCCAAACAAGAGTGTGGAAAAGGGAAGCAGAAAGTGCAGATGCAAAGGGGCCATTTAAACCAGCACAGAGGAGCAGGAGGGAAGGGCCAGCACCAGCGCCAGAAAAGAGGAATCAAAGCTTTCTGGAATGTAGCAGCAAAAACATGCAAATACCCAGGTTAAAGCTTTCCTGCAAGCCTGATAACCCACTGCATGTGTGGTCTCACCGACACCAGCACATCTTCCCTTCTGTCCCACATACTGTGGAGGGCATCTTGGGGCTGAATAATGGATTTTGTACTGTGTTTTCCACCCCTTGGTTGCTCTGAGCACCAAGTCTGGCAGCAAACCCAGGCTGACACACTGATGTCAGGCTCCAGGCGCCAGATGCTGTCATATGTGATTCCTGAAGGCTTCAGTGTACCTGCACTGCCTGCTCTGGAGAAATGCTGCTTTTGTGATATTCAAGAAGTTAGCACACCCCTGCCTTTGCTTAGACATTGAGGGTTCTCAATGTCTGCACTGTTGGATATGGGAAAGCAGAATGGGAGCAAATGCCCCAAAGGTGAAAGGGCTTGCCATGAGGAATATCCTGCCCTTCTCTAGGTCCATAGCTCAAGGATAAGCACTTTATCACCTAGTAATGGAGCAATTTTTAGTCTGGCAAAAGAGATGTGTCAATAAACACCTCTTTGGTGTGATTTCTGACAGCTGGGATTTGATTTTCATGGCCTCTGCAACTACCTCGGGGATACAGCTACACATCACACATGGATTTTTGCTGATAAGAATTGAATGCCTCGGTGTGGACAGAATTGACCCCTCAGTAAATACTGCCCTAATAAAAGCTGCCTTGCATCAGCCAGGCTGCAACACTGGGCAGCTAAAGGTGAGATGCTCCTGCTTAAACATGGACAGCCTGGGACAGGAAGACTAAAGGGAAATGACCTGATTCAGTTACCTGACAAAGGTTGGAGGAGGGAAGATGGGACAGAAAATGTCCATCATGTTCAAGGGCAGATGAGCGCATCCTCCCACATCTACCAGCGGCTCAGTGAGAGGAAAGTGCTCAAACTGTTCCTTAGAAGCTGAGGATGTGTGAGACCAAGAATCCCCCTGGGGTTTTCCTGTTATTATTTTGAAGAGAAAACAAATGAAAATGGTTTTTGTTATTAAAAGAGGCTATCTCAGGAAGCTGAAGACCTCTTCAATATCTGCTTGCATTATTCAAGGGAATGAATCATTAAATGCACTTTGAGATGCAGTCATAGGTATCAGGATAAATCAATCTCCAGGAAAGAGAAGCATCAGTTGAGGCTCTCATTTGTAACTCATCTTCAGAGCAACTCTGAGGTGTATAGGCTCCTGGCGCAGGATAGCACCCAGTTCCCTTAATATTAATAACCCCTGTGCGGCACACAGATTTGGGCTATGGGGAAAGCTGCTCTTTTCTGTACAGAGACCATCATCCATGGAGGAGAGACATAGCACTCGCTCTTGGTAATGGTGCTAAAGGAAGACAAACCAAGCATCAACTCTCAGCAATAAGGTACATTAGCATGACAGATGGCTTGCACAGAAAGAAAAACCATCTCGGGTTTTAAGATTTGTGCTGACTGTGCCTCAGAAAGGAACTATTCCAATTAGCAGTTGTACAGAGTAATTGAGAAGCATAGAGAGTGTCAACCCAATTTGCTGCCATTGTTGCGCTGTCATTGTTCTTGATTTTCCTCATTTATCCCTTCAGTCACAAGTCTGGGGACAGAGAAAATGCCACTTTGGGTTTTGCTTTCCTGGGAAGCCACATGGAGCTATGTGGAGCAGCTCATGTCCCCATGGCAAACATAACACAGCCTTCCTGGGTACCTGAGGTTATTCCTGCCTGGTTAAGCAAGTCCATCATGAAGCAAACATTGTGATTCATCAATATGGCTAAAGGCAACTGAGTGTCTAGCCGGGCAGCCACGTGCAGCTGTCATTTTGCATTGCCATAATGCAAACCCAGCCTGGGCTTTCTATGGAAGGAAATTCCTATCACCCTCAAAGGTACCTGGGGGAAATGCCTCTTGCGCTAGAAGCCACGGCGCTGGCACCCATCATTTATCTGTCTCCTTGTGTTTGTAAATGAGCCTTGAAGTGCAAGTGCTTTTTCTGCTTTCCATATCTATATGCTAGGCTGCACCCCAGGCTCCTGTGCTGGGAGTGCGGGAGCCAGAAATGAGCCCCTAATTGCACAAACTCCTCTGCCTGATTCCCTACCTACCAGGCCTGCCCAAAGGAGAATAGGAACATGTTCTTCCATGGAAGTTATATCCTTTCAGGAACAGAAGGTGGCAGACGAGGTTGCTCTGAGTGCCTGGCACAAGCAGCTGTGCTATTACTCAGAAGTTTAAAGGCATTTAATTTCTCGGTACAGGCACGGCAGTGATGCGTCCACCCTGAGCCCAGCAGTGAGGGATGAGCTCTTGGGTTTATGGGTGCTTGGCACAGGATCTGTTATGGCGCTGCTGGGAAAACTGCACTTTACCCATAGATGTGCTTGCTAAGCTTGGAAACAGCTCTGTGTTTGTTAAACACTGTAAATTTCTATTGTAATATGTAGATATATATACAGTCTGTTTGTTAGCTTTTAGTGTTTGAGCTACAGGCATAGCAAAGAACTGGGAAAATAGGACATAGTAAACCCTTTCAATGTAAGATATTTTTCTCAGTGATTGCTGTTTTTTCCTAAGATGTTCATATAGCCAGCACCTAATGCACATGTGAGAACAGAGTGATGGAACTAATCCTGACACAGTCCATGCAAGAGGCAGCATTCCAATGCAGGCAGAAGGAAACTACTTTGGGGGGTTTTAGGGCGTTTTGCAATGCATGTGTGCAGGACAGTAATTTTTCCCCGTGCAGAAGAAGAGAAGACATCACTTCCATATGGAGAGCCTTGTCCCCATAGGTTGCCACAGGCTCTGCCCCGGGTACCCGCAGCAGTGGGTCTCATTAGTGAGGAAAAGGCAAAGCAAAGGCACACAGGCAGGTGCCTCAGCCTGCTGCATCCTCCCAGCTCTGAGCTTATCCCTGTTCTGAGCTGGCCTCACCCCTTCTGGTCCCCCTGGGCTGCTGAGTTTGTTTGCAGGCTCTGGTGGGGTTTGGCCCCTTTAATGCATGCTGGGGAGGTGGGAGGCGATGGGGCTATAAAAGGTGTGCAGTGATCAATGAGGCACCTGTGAAGGGTTTCTGCTCTGGTCAGGTAGAGCTGCAGCAGCCCAGCCTTGCAGGGTGGAGGAGCACAGGTAAGAGTTCTCTCTGCTTACTCATTATTGCTGTGTTTCAACTGCGTTATCCCAGTCTGAAACCTGGTTTTCTTAGGTAGGCATCAGCAGAGCTCTCTTGCTGTGCCCAGCGGTGCAGTAGAACCTGCTGGGGCTGCAGGTTGAATCTCTACAGAGCAGCTTCCTGCCTAGAAAATAAGAAGTTAAACTGAGGTAGCAAACCCTGTGTCTGGTGCTCTCAGCTGCTGCAAGGTCCAGGCTTGTTTGGGTAGCTGAGGACCTCACTGTGCTGGACTGTGTATTGGGCCCAATGGAAGGAGCAGGGTTTGTTGATGTGAAGGGCTTTATGTGAAATGAAAGCTTCTATCTGTTAGCTTTGAGGGCTATTTTGAATGTTCTTGTCTTCACAAAATAAAAGCTCTTCTGATATGTATGTATGTGAGGCTAAAAATGGGAGGTGTGGAGGAAAATCAAAGGTCTTGCCCCTTAAGCAGGAGCAGGGTGAGGGAAATGGTCCAGTGAAACTAATAATGGTCCTGCTGAGGAATGCGTTGATTAAAAATACTAATGAGTTCTTCCAGCCTTCAACTAGAGACTACTGTAATCAGGTGGTAAACTCCTGAGGGGATAAACCACGCTGCTAATTCCTCTATCCATCTTCCACTGCAGCAAAGCTTACGTTAAAGAGAGGGTTTTCGGTTTTCACCCAGTCATTAGGCCATGGTTTGATGTTTCTCATCACCCATTAATAGTAGCTTTAATGAGAAGAGGTGGTAAAAAATTGATGTCCCAAGAAACTAATTCCTTAGCTTCAGCAAGGTCTCCTCAGACTTTGCATTGTGGAGGTAAGTAACAAGTGCCCCCTGCCCACATTAGACCAGTTACTGGTAGTTCAAACCCTGCAGATGGAAGATAACTTTCCTACCCTGAATCTTTGGAAAACTGGTGGGCCATGCTCCATCTAGAGATGAGCAGCACAGCTAATATCCAATTTATAAGGAACACCTTTAGCTGGGAATCGTTTCCAACTGAGGTGCGTGGGTACCAGCAAAATGAGCTGTATTGCATTAATGTTCTCTTAAAGATTCAAAAATGTTATGCAACAAAAAATTGGCAATTCACACCATTTCTTTAATAGACTTCCTAATGTATACTTTAAAATATAATAAAACAGCCTGGCTTGCAGAGTTTTCTTCTCGAGCTGTCTAGGCTTGCCATCAGGAGCAGCTTCAAAGCCAGTTTTCTTTTCATATGCTTGTCTGGTGTGTCTAACTGAGCATGATTACTTTTTCCTAAATGAATAGATAATTTTGCCTTATAAATAAGTAGAGCACCAGGATTTTTCATCTTTGATCCTATTGGGTTGAATCTCAGGATGGCTTCGTGTAGTGTGTGTTCATTATTGAAGGAAATTTGTTTTGTGGGGTTTTTTTTCCTTCTACCTGAATTTGTTCCCAAGCAATATATTTTTGCCATAATGCATTCAAACACACCTCAAATATTAATGAGGCAAGTAATGGCCCATTTCCATTGAAGTTTGCCATAATATGCAAGTAATCCTTCACAGGTCTCCGTTTTAATAAAGATGATGCTGGAAATGTTGCATTTTCTCTCCAGCCAAGTATTCTGGTTGGGTTTCAGTGTGTGACAGTCATTAGCTATGCAGTGGCTGAACTCATTACAACAACTGCCAGGAAAAGGGCTCTTGCTTGATGCGCGAGTTCTTGATGCAAAGAACTCGCCACGTGTTGCTTTTGTCACATTTCCAAGGCCCTTGTTGAAAGGTTAGCTGCTAGAAAAGCCAGGCTGGTGGAATGCTTTTAAGGCCATAATGAGTGCCTTCTAGTCCAAAGCTTGAAGCTTTGCCACCCCAACTTGGGTGGATCTCTGAGTTTTTCCCAGGAATAGAAGGGAGATGGAAGATGATGCTTTGACTTGATGTGCCAAAGGAGTGCTGGCTGGGATGTGTTGACCTCCCAGTCTCGCCATGCACTGCCTTGTCCAGATGCTGCCAGCTTGACATTATTAGTAGAAGGTCCCTGAGATGATGCTGCCTTTGGGGAAGTTGCCTGAAGGGTCAAGATGGAAAACCTGGAGCATGAAAGCTGCGCATGGAGTTCAGTGTCACTGGTGGGATGGCTCCTCCCTGCGGTGGCCAGCTCAGAAACAAGGGCGATCAGCTAAAAGGAGGATGAATGCACTCACAAAAGCTGAATCGCTTGATTTTACAAGTGGTTGTGTAGGACCTTTGCTAATGTCATGGCTCTCCTGGAGTCTTAAACCTTTCAAAGCTGCCATCTAGGAAGCAGCCACCTTTTGAAACACTGCCACGCCAGAGGAGAAATTAGGTTTTAAAGATGTTAAGAGGCTCAGCAGCTTCAGAGAGAAACTGTGAGAGCTCTGCATCACCTATAAACCCATTTTCCTTAGATCGCTGACTCTTTTCAGGACTGCCAGGCTGTTTTGTGCTTAAGCTTTATTCAGACCTTGCAATGAGAGATCCACGTGTCTGGGTGTAGCTGTGAACTTGGAGCAAAAGCTGTTTGTGCTGGGCTGGCAATGGACACACAAACCTATTTCTGCAGCCCTGCCCAGGGTTTGGTCTGGCAAGGGTTATAGTGAGTGGAGTCCCAGGCAGTGCTGGGTTATCTATTGGCACAACTGAAGGAGAAGTAAGTAAGATTGACTGGAAGCTGCGAGTAAAGACACTGACAGCCTGAGCTGTTTGGGCTGCTTGAATTGTGTATCTGCATTTTGTGTGTTTTGCAAAGGTAGTGATCCCACTGGGATCAAGGTGTATGGCTCTACTCTGCTCTATGTAACACCCAGTCCCTTCCCCTGCTCTCTGCAGGGATGGAAAGCCAACGGGAAGAAAAGCAAGATGTGGATATCCCTGCTCCATCAGGGAAATTGGTTCTGAAAGTAGACAGCTACCCCAGGGAGGCAGGAATATGACCAAATCCTGGAAGCACAAATCACTGCAGCAAATGCTTATATGTAAGCCCCACTGGGTAGAGACAGGAATCTCTACTAATTCCCTATTCTGCTGCTGATTTCCAGTGAAAGTGTGAGCCTCCAGAAGGGACCTGGAGAGGTATGACTATGGGAGAAGCCCCAGAGCTGAGGGGTCTGCACCAAGACTTGGAAACCTCATACTCTTACACCAGAGATCAGCAGCAATCCTTTCTTCTTCCCAGAGCCACCAGTCTCTGGGTCAAGGGAGCTGCCATGTTTCTTGCTTCTCTGTCTTGTTTTCCATTAGTCACTGCTGGCTGACTGTTATGGAAATCATCATGGTCCTGTTAGTGCTGTGGATGTGTGGTACATGCATCGCTGGGCTTGTGGAATTACCGCAGGGATGAGCTGGCAAGTCACTAGCATGTTTGAGCTGGTAGTCTGGCTCCAGAAATTGTTGCCTCTTAAGCTGTCATATAAGAGATGGTCTGAATGCACTCATGGCAGAGATGCAAACAATCCACCTCCTTTCTCAGTATGCCCTACACGTGGACCTGGTTAAGGGATGTTTCTATATTTCCCTATACAAAACCTGGTTTGCCTTCCTGCTGGCAGGCATGGGTCTTATTCTGGTCTCATTTACACTGCTGTCAACTGGAAGTAACCCCTCTGAAGCCAGAATTTAAAATGAAGCTTCTTGCCACGTTTACATATTCTACTTCTTACAGCATAATTTGTCCTAGTTTAAGTACCAAATGCTTTGTAGGAATTTCATTATAGAGCACAAGTTTTGTCAAATGCATTCTGCTCGTTTTGCTGGAGGTTGCTAAGCATAGTCTATTCCTTCTGAATCCTTTGTACTATTAGTATATTTGCCCATGCTACAAGAAGAAATTAAAAATACAGCATGGAAGAAAATACAGCTTTGTCTCATGTTCCTGGGGAAAAAAAAAAGGCAGGGGAAGGACTTTCTGTACCTGGAAAACTATCTCCAGTGGCTCTTTGGGATGCAGATATGGACAACCTGAGGGTAATTTGGAGGGTCTCAAACTTCTTGCCTAATGGCACAGCAGTCAGTGCTGATAATTGATTTCAACCCGCCTGTGAGATGAACACCTGCTGTGCAATATGGCTCTGGTAGGATTTTCTCCCTGCATAGCTGGAGCAAAATCCCTGTTGTTGACCACAGGATTGGGTCCCTATTTGCTAAAACCTGAACTGTATCCCAGTGCATTGTTACTACGCTACAACCGTTTCTGCTGCAGTATGGTTTAAATACCTTGCCTTGACACTTAGGTGTTTTTGTGGATTTTAATGGGCTTCTTTCTTTCAAAGCAAATTTAATTCCGTTACTAAATAATGCATTTGGCCTCCAACCTGACTTGTGCTAATTACTCACATGCTGAATGGGTTTTAAATCTTGTTTGGAAATGCTATAGAGTTTATTGTCTTATTAAAAGCACCTAATGTGAGCTTTCCTTTTTCTTTAAGACTGCAATTGGTCTCTAGTGAAAATGAACAGATAATGCAATAATTTTTCACTAAACTAATTATCAGAGCGGAAGATGCTAATGTGTGTTGCCAACTGTGTCTTATGTCTCCTCGGTTAACATGCTGCATGGTCACGGCTGTTCAGCAAGACTTTACATCTCTGGAAGCAGAAAAGAGGCTGAATTAAGCTTACCCATTGCTCACTCCGTTTTGCAGTCATGTTAACGTGTTCAAGCAGTGCTACCTCCACCTGCACTTAGTGTTAATCAAGTGGGGTTTCTCCCACAGAGGACTAGCAGGGAATTAACTTATTTCTATGGGTATAGGATGTATGGGTCTCCTGCTTGCAAAGATCCCAAGCACCCAACCTTCAACCATTGCTCTTCTTCAGCTGTGCTGGAAATCAAGATACCTGAAGTCAATGACCGCGTTTGAAAATGTTCATGACATGTTTCTTCAAGCACTGAAATAGGTCTCTGTGCACAAACACGTGTGATCCTGACCAAATGCATGTGCTGGGGCTGACGTATATTACCAAGAAGGAGTTCTCGTTTTCAATGTATTGCAGCATGCAACAAGGGTGTGCTTTGAAAAGCAACAAAACAAACCAAGAGTCTGCAGGACCCCCGCCTCTAGATGCGCAAAGCCTGCAGAAGCGCTGAGTGCTGGCAGACATGTCCCGTTGTGGAAAGAAGGAAGAAATTAGGAGTGAAAGAAGAAAAGTGAGGCTTCACCTTGAGCAAACGCGGTGTGTGCTTCTCCAGCTCCCCTCGGAGCAGGCTGCATTTGAAAGCAGAATTGGTAAGGACTGGGATTTGCCTGTCTGATTGCTGTTACTCCCCCAAACAAATAAACAAAACAATTATCTTTGAATGTTACCCAGGCTAATGTGTAGAGCTGGCACTGGGGAGTAAAGAGAGGAGAGGACACCAGGCTAAAAGCATTAATCGGTAATGGGGTTTGTATATTTGTCAACAAGGCGCTCGGCTCGGAGAGCTGAACAAAAAGGAAGCAAGCTGCAGAAAAACAAATGCATACCAAGCCTTGTCACTGATATTTGTTTAACAGCCTGTCACAAGCAGCAAATGAGGATCAAAGGTAGGAAAGGCAACGAAGGAGCGGTTTCAGTCCAAGGCATCCATTCTGCATTGCATCAGGGTTCACTCCTGGATCAGGGTGCATTCTGCCACATTGTGTTACATCAAGCGAGTTGTGAAATGATGGAGCCTAATGCAGAGTGAGTGTTGGGAATGGGAAGTAAAACAACAACCCGTTGGCTTTGTATTCATTAATTGCCATGGGTTTGGGGGTTATCCAGGAACAGAGATGCTGTTTTAAGTGAGGCGGAGAGCTAAGATTGCCAGGCTGTGCTTTGTAAGAGAGCACTGCAAATTGCTTGTGGGATTTGATGTTGTCTTACCCTGCCTCCAGAACAAATCACACTGGTAGGGGGTTTGGGTTTTCCTTTTTAATGGTTGGGAAAAACCTTTGTGAAAGAACCCGTCACACTAAGGTAAAAAAAAAAAAAATTGTCTTTTTTCTTCTATCATTCTCTTTTTTAGATCATTTTACTGGCCTTCCACTTAGTTACAGCTATTGATCCTGCCCCCTCAGCATGAACATGCAGGGTAAGGCTCCTTGATTGTTTTGGTGATGGAGGTTGTAGTGCATCACTTCTCTGCTGGGATGCTACTGGAGAGATGCACATTTCCCCTTTGGCCACCTGAGCAGAGGTGACTGCTGGCCCCAGAGGACCTGCAGAGTAACTGCCCTCAGTTTTCTGCCAAGCAGCCCAGACATGAAGCTTACCTGGTTAAGAGATGAAGAAGATGGTGGTGGGAACAACTGAGGGTGCAGGCAGACAAAATGCCAGCTGAAAAAAAAGCAGCATTGTTTAACTATTAAAGAACAAAATGAACTGGAAAGTCAACTCATAATTTTTCATGTGTTTGCATCAGAAAACAATTTGGGGAGGGAATTTAATTAAATTATTGGAGTTTCTTCAGAAGTTTTACTGGCAAATGCTGCTCTTCCCAGCCAACCCCAGTGCTAAGACAAATCATCAGTTAGAGGAACTGCAGCAAATACTGGAATCAACTGATTTATGGTATTTTTTTGTTCTGTCAAACAAAACCACTTTCTATACTGAGCAGTTCCTTAAATTTAGCTCATATTCCCCCCCTGAAGATGACTGTGCAGATCTGTCTCTAGCAGAAAGGAGCTGGCTTGGTGACTTTCCACTGCCATTTGCAGCGCTGATGGAAGCACCAACCACCTCAGCTGCTGAAGCTATGGCAATTAATCACGTCCTCCAGCTGCAGAACGTGCAGCTCCTGGCCATGCTCACGTGCAGGTGTCACCTCCAGGATTAATTGGTATTGATGAACTTGCTTAGCAACCACACGCCAATTGGCACTGATCCCTGGGGATGCGCAGCTTCCCCATCCTCAGCCAGGAACACTGACCTTGTGGCAGAGTAATGCTGGGGAGCAAGAGGTAAATGAGGGAGGGCTTGTGCCAGCTCCTCCCCAGCCACCACCACATGGTGGTGGCCATGTGGGCTGCCTGGGTGTGCAGCAGCAGTGCCATATTTCATATTTGAGCCCTGTTTATCCTCTGCCTAAGCCTAGACTGGCAGCTCCAATATCCAGCTGTTGGCTAACAAGAGAAAGCATCTTTGGTTTCGAAAATGTTTCTCATGTTTCATTAAGCTGATGGCTTTGGATGGGAGTTGCAGTAGTGTAATCCATGTGCTGACAGCGCCCCTCGAGACTTGGGCTGGGGATAATCACATCCTTTTTATGCTGCTAATAATTAACTATTGAAACAATTTACTAATGGATGTAGTGGCTTCTTTAAATGATGAATTGGTATGGTTTAGCACAGCTATGTGGCATAGGCTTGATGCAAATATTACTTGAGTGCAAAGCCAGTCTGCATTATAGCCTGTTGAGGTCAGAATCTATTAGCCATAATTCCTCTTAGCCTAAATTCTCTTCATCTTTAGAAATAAGTTTTCATACAGAAATTATTCCAAAACCTTCAAAAACAGAGCTGCATGTGCTCTATCATATAGCAATGTATGATCTTATTCGCTAAGTGGAGGAGAGGGATGTTTATGTAAACTGCAGCCAAAAATACAGTAGTATTGCCAAAAAGAGTAAGTTTATCAGCTATTTTAGTTAAAAATGGGTAAACTCCATGTGCATGAATAGATTAAATTATATTTATTGGCATGCATTGAATGGGTCTAATCAGAGTAATGGCTGTTGAAGGGGTGTAGCATCTATTAATTGAATATGGAGACTAGTTTCACCTGATTTTTGTTTTTAGTGGTTTCCACTATTTGCAAAACAACTGTCACAGAAAGCTTCACATCCGAGATCTCCCAGATCTTGTCAAATTAATTTCTGAACTCTTGACACTTCTGCACCAACTGTCCTAATTCTTCTCGTAGCGTTTGCTTAAGACGACTCTAATAACTAAGTCATGTCTGACAGCCTAAAGATAAGCTGTTATTTCTCTCAAAGAGATGACAGTTCCCATTTTCAAAAGCAGAGGAAAGGTTGCTCACTGTTTTACTTCCTGCAGCAGCAAAATTTTCAGGCATGGGACTGGCAAAACAAAGAGTTGCTTGCTGTAGGTAAAGGGTTTTTTCTTTGCCTCTCACCATTGCGCTTGGATGGAAAGGTCAGGTGTGTCAGAGATGGTTAAGGCTTTGAAGAAGACAGATGTGTGTATGCAGAAAGAACATAAAGGGGATTGGAATAGCTTAAAGGAATAAGCGGAATTGGAAAGATCTGGGCTTTAAACTTCATTCTGCAATTGAAGTCATTGTTAGCTCTCTCCCCCACTGAGGAAAAAATGTCTTGGAGGGGAAAAAAGGCAGAAAAAATGAAATATTAAATGCATATTTCTGGCTAGTTATCTCAACTGCTGGAATTGCAGCAGTGCAGATTACTCCAAGCTTTTAGCAATTGAGTAGAATCCACTTCACCTTTCGTCTCCAACTTTGTTTCTTCTTCAGCCCTCCGCTGGGATTGTGGGAACAAGCGCTGGCTATACTACAAAAGAGGGGAAGGAAAAAAGGTACCCTGCAGGCTACAAGCGTGGAGAAGGTAGGAGTGCGTGTGTGCAGCCTGGACCCAGCTGGTCTCTTATTCTCAGCAAGGCAGATATCTGTACAACAATTGGTCAGGTTTGCTTAGAAGTTTAGCAATCACATCTTCTGTCTTTAGCCTCCTGCCCATCCCCGAAGGGAGGGAGTCCCTGTGGTCCCCACAACCTGTCCCATGCCATGTGGCAACTGCTGCCCCACATGGCGCTATGATGCTCTTTCAGTATGGCAAAAACCTGTGCATCCCCAGCCCGGTGTGTGCGCGGTATTTCATCTCATTTTAAAATACCACCTTGGGAGAATGGTGTTGGACCACTTGCTCTAATTCGTTACTGAAAACCCATGAGGTGAATCTGGTATTTGCTATATTTAAGACCCTCTGATAAGGTGGGCACAGCACTCTCCAGCATCTCATGGCATCACGGCTGCCATCCGGGAACAACGTGCTCCCTTTCCCACCTCCACAAGGCTGCAAACAGGCAAAGAACTGTAAAAAACAAGAAAATCCCTGATACATAGTTAGTTTATCGCAAACGGGAATGGCTTCTGGCACCTTCCTTTGCAAGGCTGAGGGCTGGGGTGTCTGTAGGTGTCTCGCACCAGCCGATACTCACTAAGTAATCCTTTCCACGCATGCTGCCCCATTTGGTTTGTCTGCCTCGGTGATATTCCATGAGGGACTGATTCTGGAGATGGAAAAGCTTCTGCATCTTCCCATTACCCTTGCAGTGTCCCTTGAGAGAAGGGATTTGAGTTTCTGGTCCCTCACATGTAATCTTCAGTGTGCCATATTCACCACTTCTATTTATTTTCCATGTTAATGCTTGTAAGACTGGAATGCTCCTTTTTTTAGAGGCATTACAGTTATGGGTAGAAAGCAAACATCTGCCAGGTTTTTCCATAGAGAAGCTGTGGGTTTAGTGTTTGTTTTTTTTCCTTGCTACCTAGAAACCATTATATTAATAGAGATCTTATTGCAATGCTTTTCTGTGACAAATGTAAAACTTCCAGTAGAAAAGCAAAAACATTTTTTGCTAGAATCATCCACCTAAATAATGCAAAAGAAAAAGACCACAGAGGGCTTAGGATGGGGAAGGATCCGATGTTCATATTGTGGATATGCAAGTTCCATGTAAGAACATGACCAAAAATAACTCTCATTTGAAAGCAAATTCAATAGGACAGTTTTAATGAGCCTAATCATGAGGTTTGACAGTAGATGTTGACCTTGGAATGGGTCTCTGCGATGAGAAAAGAGGTTATTTCAACCAGAATAGCTGTTGTTATTTTTCATTCTAGTAAGTAAATTGTAGTAGAGTTGCTCAGATGATACTATTGTCTTGTGGAGCTCAGTGGAAAGCCAATTCCTTTTGGGGTTTTTGCAACCTCATCCTCATTCTTTAACAGTTTCTCCATGATAGATTGAAAAAAAAATCTGGATGCCTCAACATACATGTGATGAACCTAAAACCTAGAGATTTATCTATTGAATTTTCTAGGCACATATTGACAGGCTATAGCACAAAATCACACATTACCTATTTGCTAACCAAATTGACTAGTTATTCAATTGAGTCTCATAGGAGAGGAAATGTTTTTCTCTACTAGCAAAGCTAAAAGAACACGAGAAAGCTGTAGGTGTGTTCCAGCCCTTCTCTGCATAGATCACTCAGAAAACAGTGTCTCTTTAATAGTAGTGGCAGTAACCATCTAATACCCTGAATTAGGAAGGCTTTAGCAATTGGCAAGCGCTCTCTTTTTCTCCGTGCTAAATATTTTGTCAAGGCTTTTCACGACTCTGGCTGCTGCAATTTCACATCTTTCTCCAAAAGCTGGTTTTCTTTCGAGCAGATGAGACTTTGTGCTCTCTTGGGCAGAGCCTCCTGTTTCCTGAATGCTCTCTAAGAGCAGTGTTGTGCCAGTGCTGCCCCAACACAGTGCCATGAGTTGTGATGGGTGCAGTCTGGAATTGCTCTTGTGTGTATCCATGAAGAGGAAGCCACATGGGGATCTCAGGGCCTGGAAGCATGTGGTTTTGCCCACTCCACCATGGGGATGACTCTGCTGCTCCTCAGGTAAATCCTAGTACTTCCCAAACTGAGTCCCTCTACAGCACCCTTGTAGCCCATTTTAGACACTGGAAGCTGCTCTGGGGTCTCCACGCATCTTCTCTTCTCCATGTTGAACAGCCCCAACTTTCTGAGCCTGTCTCCATACGGGAGCTGCTCCAGCCCCTGATCGTCCTTGTGGCATCCTCTGGACTTGCCCCAACAGCTCCATGTCCTTACACTGAGGACACCAGCGTGGCACACAGCGCTCCAAGTGTGGTCTCATGGGAGCAGAGCGGCAGGTTGTATTGGTTGGTGATCTTACTCTTCCAAAGGTTCTGGCTTATATTTTTGACAGTTTCAAGTGTAAGGGGGTTTTGCATTGCCTTCGATTTAGTTCATATTTGCAGTAGATTGACTGCATTAGCAAAACACCTCTTATAAAATGACCTGCGGGTCTCTCTGGGAGAAGAAGGGGAGGAAAGGAAACCCTGGTATCTTAGGCTGAGTAAATACTGTCTTTTCCCCGAAGAGCTTATGGTTCAGCCATGGAGTAGGTGTTTGCTGAATAAGTAAGTGTGCTGTGACCTGGCCTTGAGCAGACAGGCAGCGTCTGAGGTGTGAAGAGAGATAAAAATCAATAAATACACCACTTACCATTTGCTCAGCCCAAACAAAATACTTCATCGAGACTCTGGTGTAGCTTTCAAACAGAGAGAGCACAAATTACAGCTCTCGTGCACTGTATATGGCAAGGGTTTATGACGTTCTGCTGGACTTATTTACAGCTCATTTAAAACACTGTGTCAGGGTGCTTTGATGCTACTACCACAGCTTTTCTTCCTCTCCTCATCATTGCTACTATCACATAATAGTCTGTGGAAAAGGGGTTGCTGTCATTCCATGTGCACTTCCTAAATAAGGAGGAGGTGCATGGACACTTGAGCATTTATTCCACCTAAACCAGCTCATGAATCGGGAGTAGGTTTGAAGTTTTGCTCCTCTTGGCAGATCTCCCCCTTGGGTTTCCCTGTTTCTCACCTACCATCTCCCCTTGCTTGCTGATCTCTGTCTGAATTGCATTGAAAGTGGAAAAGAGCAATGAAATGAGAAAGCCTTTACAGAAACAGGTTTAAGCTTCTCAGTTTAAATAATCTCAGTGGAGTTAGGAGGCTCCCAGTAAAGCTTTGATTATCTGCTTCAAGATCCATCTCCCAAGCATGATTCTATGGAAAACCAGCTCTTCAGACCCATTAAGTGTTACAAACGTGATCAAGAGCATGGTTTTGGTAACTTGGGTTCAGCATCAGAGACTGCAGCCCCTGCCATCGCAGGAGGCTGATCTAAAGGGACTTCCTGGTCTCTTGTGTAGAAATAACAGAACCAGAGCCCAGGGAAGATGAGATAAACCTTGTTTTGGCTGCTTGTTCTGTCACTGACCTATCAGAAGTAAAGGCTAGCTTTAATTCCACCTTTCAATTTCCTTCCTTTGCAGACTGAGTGCTTATGAAACTTTCCAAGGGAGCTGCCAGGGTGTGCTCCCAAAAGACCAACTTGCTGGTGAATAATCAGCTGCAATTCTAATGAGAAAAATCCCTTTGCTGGGCAACAGCCTTCCTCCTTGAATGCTGCATTATCAGCTCAAAATGGTTCAGCCAGATCTGAGGAATTTACTTTAGGCAGCTTAGGAGATAAATTCAGTGCAGCAAGTTATCGTGATTAAGTATTTAAGACTTATCCTAAAAACCTGTTTTGCTCAATCCACCTCCTGAGATGTCCCCATTGAAACCCTTCTTTTCAGGTTAAAATGCAGTCAGAGTGCAGCAAGCAATTTCCATGTCTCTGGCCATGGGTAGTTCTCCATCCTCCAGAAGTGTGGCTGATGCAATGTTTCAGAAGCAGTAAGCTTCCCTACAGATTGCCTCATTTTACACTTCATGTGACCTCAGCGAGCATCACCATGCTGCTCTGCTACAGCACCTTCTCCCTTAGGTCTGGGAGGGAATATTTGTTTGAAAAAGGATTGAGTTTGGGGGTTTGGTATTTTTTTAAAGGCTATTAGAGAGATTAATGCTGCTTTGTGGAGCAGTTAGGAGTTGGTGCTCAGGAGTCCTGGCAGTGATCAGCAGGATGCACACAAGCACATGTGTGCTTCAGAGAGCCCTCAAATGCAATCCATCACAGTGACATCCGGCCCCCTATGTCATCTTTAGTCTGTCTGAAGTCCATGTGGAGTAGCTGTGTGTGTCTGTACAGCACAAATAGCCTGTTGCTGGGCTCTTTACAGGTGTGTAATTATTTCTTAGAACTGACAGATAAAGGGTGGAATGGGAAAACCCCACAGGCATTTTTTTTCCTCTTTTCCCCCATCATTGTACTGTATTCCCATGGAGAATTCGCATTTCCCTCTGGATGCTGCCCTGAGAACAAACACAGCTCATTCCACTAGTGCCTTGTCTGGATGAATTCTCAGTCAGAACGTCTGTTACCCCACTATGAGAAAGATAGTTTCACTGAACTTCTAGCAGGTCTTTTGTGCTAGAAGTAGTGTCTCATCACAACAGGGACTGTAGTGACAGGACAAGGGGTAACGGGTTAAAACTTAAACAGGGGAAGTTTAGATTGGATCTAAGGAGGAAATTCTTTACTGTGAGGGTGGTGAGGCACTGGAATGGGTTGCCCAGGGAGGTTGTGAATGCTCCATCGCTGGCAGTGTTCAAGGCCAGGTTGGATGAAGCCTTGGGTGAGATGGTTTAGTGTGAGGTGTCCCTGCCCATGGCAGGGGGTTGGAACTGGATGATCTTAAGGTCCTTTCCAACCCTAACTATTCTATGATTCTATAACATTACTTCTCTAAATCCTTTGAAACACGATGCAAAATCAAGGTTTAGTCCTATTAACCCCTCATTCTTTCTCCCACTCCCTTTTTAACACTTTAAACTCACAAGTAACCACCACTCACAGATGTAACACATACTCCAGATAATCTTTAAGGTGGTATTTACCACTGCAATGAATTTCCCAGGTCTTAGGACATGGACAAGAGGTAGGACTTGAGAGATGAAAGCAGATAACAGACACAATGAACTTTAGATCTAGGAGATGTGTACAATATTAGTTCATCCTGTAGCAGAATGTGAATGCTATTGATATTTAATATCTTACCAGGAGGGATGAGTATTTGAAGGACAAGCATTCATAATTTGCTTTGACATTTGATATGATCAAGCAAGTAAAGGAATAATATTCCATTTCTCCCTTGTCAAAAAGATAATGAGCTTCATAACTATTGGTATTATGGGAAAAATGCAGCCTATGTAGTGTAAAATATATGAGGAGCTGCTATAAATTGCGTATATTGTGGGTTTGTGATGGCCCTATTCAGACACAGCAGGCCTATCCTTTTTAATTTTCTGGTTTGCTGTGCAAGTCTCTAGCAAAAG